TCATGTTGAGATACAAGTACCATTTACATGTATTTACATCTGAGATGACGATTACATATCTACATGTATATGTATTATGTACATGTAATGTACCATCTGTAATTTGTATATATCATGGCTGAGCATTCTGAAGTGGTAGATCACGCATAATTGAATCAAAAATTGATGACTTAAGATTAAAAGTTGATAAAAATTAAACCTGTACATCTTATTTTTAGAATATACCATAGTAAACTATGAGGGAATTAAGACATGTTATAACTACAACAGTCGAATTTTTCAGCTATACATGTTACAACAACTATAGATCAAATTCTTTGCTACAGGGTTTACTTACTGGAATGGTGAGATGAAGAAATACTTGACAAGTACCATCAGCTGATCTACCAAGATTAGATAGTCCCTGTGCGATTGTCTCCTCATCTAACACTCCTCCTGGGGACAACTGTGAAAATAATAACAGGCTGAATACATGAACATCTCAAAGTGCCTATTTGTTTGAGATCCATCATCTTCTAAAAGCCCATTTTCTAAACAGAACTCTTCACTCATAATCTGTGAGCATTTTTAATTCAAAATTAGATGAACCCTTCATATTTATCCTTTATATACTCATGAATTGAGAAAACCAGGATGTGTTTTGAAACAAGATAATCCAGTGAAAAAATCACTGAAAAACTACAAAGACCCGAAGTTAGGTATAAGGGGCGGAAAAGATGGAGTGATAGTGAAATGTTGCTTTTAGTGGAATCTATTAAGTTAGTAAATGGTTATATTGTCACAGAAGCATGTAGCGCCACTGGTATACTGGTTGGGTTGGGGTAGGATTACTTACAACATGGCTTTAAGGAACTCTATTGTTATTTTTGTAAATGACTTTTTTACCAAGAACAATATAGATAGCGCTTCGTGCTCTTTTACGTTATGTTACATTTTGCAAGGGGTTTTAAATCAGATTTTCAAACTTTGAACACAATTTCTATATCTGTTTTTTTTTGTGTTTTGATGCAGTATTGCATTACCAAGAAAAAGTTTAAATATACGAATAAACTCTAACAAAACTTCATTATGTCACCATCTCTACACAGTGACATAAAACAATCATGTAACTTAAGCACATATTTCAGTATATTGTGGCGTCTTATAGCCCAAAAATATACAACAAATCTCAAAAAGTCCAATTAAATCCCTAGTGAATGACATCTAGACCCTGATTGACTCATTGGATCTTGTCGTGACATCATTTGGAATCTGTGGAAAGTTCTAATGTACATCATCCTTCTTGACCTTTGTTATTATTACCGTGCCCTGGAAATATGAGATAAAAGCATATCTTATATGTGTGGCCTTAGTCAATACATTTCCTGCCTGTCTTTGTACAACATTTATACAATGAAGATATTTCATGTATTCACACAGTTCATACTAATAGTTTTTTAAATACAATATTATTGTATTAGTACTTCTTGCAACATAAACCGCGGCTCAGAAGGGTCGAAACACTCTTATTACTTTGTCATAAATAGAAAATAAAACAGAGAAAAGAAATAAATCAGTTTTAAGTTTAAGACATACAAATTACGTTTCCTCCGTTTTTAAAGTAGCACGTTCACAGAACGAAAACGGTAATGTATAGATTTACGTTTGTGGTTCATGTACCGTAATAAAAAAGTATTGCTTTACCTCTTTATTGTTACAAAATATACCTTAGCTTTTAGTCTTTTGATCTCTTGATTTGATACATACCTTGACACCTTAGCATATACACTTCTACAGTAAACTTTTTTATTGTCTACTGAGCCCAAGTTTTGCCGATTTCACACCTGATTTGTAATATATGTCTTTGTTGTCATAACATTTATAATTGTTTGCGTTACTTGTTGTTGCACTTGTTGTTGGTGTGCGTGGTCTTATGCATAGGATCTTGTTGTTGTTGGCGTTCTTGTTCTGAAAAAGAAATGAATTGGGGCAGTCTATATTCATTTGAGTTCCGATCTTGACCTTTTTAGAAAGCTAATCTATCGTTCTTATGAAGCCTAGATGGTAATAGCCAGTCTCGTCACATAAGTCTCGCGGGAGGCATCTAAGGTTCAATGTCGACGGATAAGCTTATAAAACTAAATAAATCTAGAAGGGGGGGGGGGTCAAAGCCATTTCAATTTGCTATCAGACAAATTTTAACATTTCAATTTTTGTGCAATTTTGACTCGGATCAGAATTCCTTTGAATGGTTTTAAAATAAAGAGTTTACTTGTCTGAATGATGTTTTCTGCAAATGCTGTGCCTACTGTTGTTGTCACATGTTTTTAGAATTCTACATTGTAGCCTACATCCAATGAAAATCGAAAATCCACACGCGAAAAGTCCACACGCGAAAAGTCCGCGATGATCACGTTTTTTGGGGGGAGGGGGTCAAACTCAAAACTAGATTAATTTAGTTTCCTATCAGACATTGAGCTTAAGGTACCTCTCCTTGCGACCACCATAGCATCATACTAACCATTTACAGAACATAATATATCAGTGTTGACTATTTGAACCATCTGAAAAACGCGTTGAACCATGAGTAAGCTTAACTAAATTTCTTCAAGTTCATAAATTGATTTTAAGCCACTTCTGGCTCGAATAATGATTCAGTAAAATAAGAAGTTACAATTCTATTCATTTCTACAATCAATTTGAAGTGAAATTCGATTATAAATACTGAAAATCAGGCTTTAAAATGACAGAAATGTTAAAATACGCTTACCCGTTCAGACAAAATTGAGAGCAATGGCGGACAATGCGTTCTACGTCACATGACGACATTACTTGGAAACACAATCGATCCGTAATCGCGTCATATGACGACTTAGTAGTTCCCTTGACAATTTGCCATATAAGGTAATAAAGGCGGTCTTTAGGTCACGTGACCGATCTACTGGTTCATGTCGGGAATAAGGTACAAAGGACCGCACTTCGTGGGGGGTCTTTGTAAAAAAGCATATGTTTACACAGAGAGTGCACTAATTGATGCACACGAATGGATATGGGTGCTACTTATTGGATGAAAGATCGTCACTCACTGGCACGAGATACTGTAAGTACCCCCATTAGCATGTATGGGGAAGATTTGCATTTTTTTCTTATTTCAGACATTGGACATTCACAAATCACTGTCAAATGTCAAAAATAAGAAAAGGCAAATAAACCCAACATTTATGGAGGTATGGGGTGTGGGAGCCCATACGAAAACTTAACCACTGCCCAATGCTATCCATGGAGCTGTTGTAATTGAAAGTCTTTTGTGGATTTTTACAAAAATAAAGATAAATAAATAGCTGTACCTCTTTCTGCTCCTCGCTTTGTGTGACTTCTGAATCCATTCCATCACCCGGAAATGGAGTGAGTTCAATTCCAGGACTTTCTCCATTTATATCCGTCATTGCTCGATCATCATCGAGATTCAGTACATTAGCGTAGCTTTGTGAGTAAACGTTTGAATCATAGTAGTCACCCATCATGTATTCAGATTCATCTATTGGTGGGGAAAACTTCTCCCCACCGTCAAAACTGTCTTGATCGAGGTCCGCCATTTGTTTCTTAGAGACACAGGAACGAAGTGAATATTTCTACAATATATGAAATCCTTATAATCTATATTTGATAGTAATCACTGTATATCTTGATTGAACAATTTTTATTGTAAATATTTACTGAAAATTAAAATTGTTCGATACAAAGCAATAATAAAAGTTTATATTCTTACATTCACTTACGTTATTTATGAGCGCCATCTTTCAATAACTGCAAAATATTGAGTGTATAGATGGCAGCATCCTATGAAAAATCAGTTGGTCTGACATCTATAAATAAAGTAAAAACAATTTTAGCATAAAATTAACAATGATTGTTATCTCAAATCAAACATTCGCACCCTACCATTCTACTTGGCCAACTAATAAATTTTTATCATCATTTTTCCAAATTGCCTACTTTTACACCATGTTATATAATTCAGATCAATTTAACCATGGGCTTAAATGAAAGCCCATGATTTAACCAAAATAAAAGTAAGCTTAAAAGTTAAATACCTGCTTTAAAATAGACATACTGCCTAAATAACACGATCATGTGCTAAGTCGTGTATTTACGACCAGTTCGTGGTTTAGAAAGTATAAATGCCATTTGCCTTTGCTTCAGTCAACATACATCATGTTATGTTTACATACATGTACTTTGCCTATAATTTGCTATCGGCGATAACTACACTCACAGAAATGACATTACGACTTTAAGGTGGTCATTTCTAGACCTGCTAAATTAAAAATTTACGATTCGGCATTGGTAACATCTGAAACATTCTGGTACTCAAAGGCATATAATCCCGGGGTCATAATATCTTATTTTCAACTCAAAAGCGATATGAAAGCAACTTACAGAAGGCCATGATTTATGACATGCATCTTACAATAGTTGGACATTATGAAACCTGAATTGGAAATAAATTCCACACATGATGTAGATATTGCAAAATGAGTTTTAAGAATAACATCACTATTTTTTCGAGACATGAATCCTGGTGTCCAAGTTTACCCTTCGCGCTGAGTCTAGTTATAAACTACGACGCTCTCTTATTTTATTTTGCTTCATTCTCATATCGCATTTGGGAAATGATATCATTGATTAAAAATGATGTTAAAGAAGTAGAATCAGCACGATAGCTACATGTAGTTAGATAAGACCCCGGGATAAGACCCAGACAATTCATTCCACTCGATATACCTTAACGAATTTAACATTGACTCTACATGTTTGCTTTTAATGGACTACACAGCTGTCGAAACTTCTGTGTTATATTTATCAATTGCATTATCAATATTTCCGAATAGATGTTTTATTAATTCTTTAGCAGTCATGTATTTGAATGAATCATCCATAACTGGAAGCGTTTTATTTATAATTGGCTGAAGTTACATTTCTTATATTGTAATCGAGTATTTTTCGAAATGATGAAACTATTAAGTTGATTTTCTGTTTCCATGCCAACGATCGATTATTTCTGCATTTGTATTTGATATGCTAATAATCTAACTATTATCATAGCTAATCATGAGATTTACTGATCCAATATATCCAGAAAGATACAACTGGATGCAACAGGTTGGTCAGAAATGCGGGTGAGTAATCGTTTGATTTATTCCGATTTATTTTATACTGGTGGTTGGAAACTTTGGTCACATTCCAGACTATCAATTAAATACAGCGAAGTACGATCTACAAGGTGAAATGTTGAAACATTGGATTGTTCGGACTCTTGCTAATAATATTTTTATGAGATGCTATTCTTTGAAATATGTTTTAATGGCCGATTGTTTGTTGTTTATAATGTAGTTGCAGACGATCTTATTGATAGTTTTAAAAACGTCAATTTGTACGACTACACTAATTAAAAATCATCATGTCTTTTTAACAAATTGTTATATTCGCCCATGCGTGTCTCATTAATTGATAATTACATTTTCAGGACAAAAACATAGGCTGCAAACAATATATACGAAAAACTTCGTAAAAAACAAACGACCAATGAACTGGCATTTACATTACGTTAGAAGGTCACAAAAATCGTGAAACTTGTTGAAATATAAACAATGAATGGCTCAGAGAAACAGCGGATTTATATGAAAGCCAAACTGAACGGATCCCTGAACGATGATGACGTCACCCAGACCAATGCAGAAGAGTACACCGAGATGACAGAAGAGACTGACGATGCGAACCCGGATCTAACCGGGGATCCAACAGACGACGACCAGAAGAGAAGAAGATATCTGCTGTTGAAGACGCTCGTCTTGGGGTTAATATGGGCCGCGAATGTAAGTTACATAATGAATGTAATTTATGATGTAGGCTCATTAACCCACATGAGAGATAAAATGTGTTTATGCATTCGATCCAATAACAGAGAGAGATCACAGCTAGAGGAAAAAACAAGTATCCGTGGGAACATCATCTGGAAAGACATGTGTATAATACTATGTATCCTGATACTACCCATTACATCTTTATGATTTCAACGAGAATTTTCTCGTTTTCTAAAATGGATGGAATTAATAGAAAGTCATAAGTGATACATAGCATTCTGAAAATGAACCCATAGCACATGATAGAATATATGTCTCCACCACAAATGATGATGATTGTCATAGAATCCAATACCATTTGCATTCGTTCAACTTCACTTCTTAAGAGAGAGCTTCGTCACTTTTTTTGTTGTGTTCGGCTTTTGGCGGTTAGTGTCTGGAGTTCGGCGGTTGGAATCTGTAACAAATGGCAGGTGTTGACATTTTGCATCTTAATGCCTTGTTGCTATATGTACTAGAGAGATGCGCTGTTTTGCAATTGTAAAGTTAAAGCTCTTTCTATGTTTTTATATTCGTTTTCAGGGAGCTTTCTCTGGTATTACAGTGGCAACAATACCAGATTTGAAGTATCGTGTTCACGTAAACTATGAAGAACTGTCACGTGCCCTTGCTGCCTTTGGCCTCGGAGTCATCGTCGCTGCCCCTTTGGGAGGTGTTATGTCCGATAGGTAGGTTGAAACATGCATATACATTACAATACGAGACTTACATTTTTCTGGTCCCAGGGAATGTCATTTAGTCTTCAGGTTTTTTTTCAATTTTAGGAGTTTTCGTAGTGCGAAGTTAGTTTATTAAATGTATAATAGCATATTTATCTTCTAACTAAACCTATACTATTACTAGCATGTTCAATAAATTGGATGATGAGCTAGTCATTTCCTAAAGGCCATGTCATGGTATTCCCTTTAATTCCATTTCAAGCTTCCATAAAGAGCGTTATTACTAAAACAATATTAATTATGCATTTTACTACCATATACATATTTCATGTTTATGATAGGTGGATCAGAGGTCGGGATGTTCAGATCGTGTCATTCCTCGGTTTAACCGCTATTACGATTGGCGTGAGACCCTGGATAGAGAGCCTCTGGTTCTTGGGGGTTATGGTTTGCCTTGAGGGATTCTTCCGTGGATTATTTGTACCAGGTCTGTGTTTGTAGTAATATTGCAAAATGTTAAAATCCATAATTCATTATAAACTTGTTTGTTGGCAATCCTTGTATTCATATTGATTTTGAAATTAATTAGAATTATTCAAGGATTAATCAATAGTCGCCTAGCCAGAGAATATAAAAAAGAACTGCACTAACAATATTACTCATTCACTGTATTTTTCTGTTTTCATTTGGCTTCTTTGGCAGCTGTATGTAGTTTAAAATCTCAATTTTTAAAACTTCCATCAGAATAGCATCCGTGCTGGTAGTCATTGTTTTAGCTAATTACTTGTGAACCATGCATATGACTATATATTTATAAAGGGCAAAATGAAAGTAGTCCTTGTGTGGCATTTGTGTCCATTTTATGTTTCTAAGAAGCTCTCGAAAAAGTTTAATTGAAATGTTGCGAATGACAATTTATTCTATGAAAATATTTAAGCCATACTGTGATTGCTTTCAGGCATGAACAACATGTTGGACAGATTATGGGGCAAAGACATTGGACTTCCGCGCCATCTAATGTCCGTCTGCTGGGTTATTGGAGAACTCGTCTCGCCCCTGATTTGCAAACCATTTTTCTTGGACTTACCAGAGGACTGTGATACTATGAACGCATCATTGGATTGTATACCCGTTGATCAAAATAACATGACCCGTAGACAAGAGGCATCCATAGATGCGGAGGTTATGTCGGAAATTGAATATCCTTATCTGATTATCACACTTTGGGCAACCGTACCAATTGTGCTTCTATCTCTGTTTTATTACTTCGACAGGACATCCGGTCAAAAATACTATAAACAACTTAAAAGTAGTTCCACAACATCTGAAAAGTCAAGTTTTCCGTCATGGCGGGAGATATTTTCACCAAAATTCTGCGGACAAGGAAGTACATCATTTGGTGTAGTAATTATCATGCTGTTATTCATGTATTACTTTGCTTGTGAATTTATGGCTACTCCTTTCTACAAGTTTATAATGGCGTATGCAGTAGAAAAGATTGGAATGTCTAAATCTGAGGCTGCGACACTCATGATTCTCATTCGTATTATAGCCATCTTCTTGGGTATTGTTTGGGGCGCTCTCACCCGTTGTATCCGCATCCAGTTCTTGCTCTTCATTCAAATCTTTGGAGAGCTGGCAGTCGTCATTTACTTCAACATTGTTGAGATACATACTAAGACGCAGCTCTATGCGTTCATCGTAGCGTTCAGCGTCATGTCCGTTGGTAACTGGGCAACTGGCATCACGTGGGGCCTTAGGTATATCGAGTTCTCCTCCCTAATCTATACCGTCATTGAGGTCAGTGCTGCGATAGCCAGTCTTGTCTCTACATGGGCCACGGGCTATGTCCTGGAGTATGGAGGTCACGAAGCCATGCTTAGACTCCAACTGGGCAGCAATATCGCATTCTGCTTTGTTGTCATCGTCATGCAGATCGTTGGCTCGTGGAAAGGGGAGAAATTTAAGGATAAAAACGTCAACGACGTTGGCTGTTTGAACCTATGCGATAGGAAATCTCCGTTACTGAGTGACCAAGATGATGGATGAGCTACGGTTCAGATAAGGACTGAATAAAGGACCAGACCCACGGATCGAACCAACTCACGTGTAGTACATAGTATTAGATTGCTTTTTCAGTGATATACTATGTTATAGTGTGTCATAATTAGCATTACAACATTTCATTTATTCATATGATTTATTCAATAGTTCTCCTACAATCATCATTTATCCATGATTATTTTATGTTGTTCATAAGCAGTACTGATTAAATATAATAATATATTTATTTACAAATTATTCGCATTTCTGCCGTGTTTACAATTTATATGAGAAGGCTGGTATGGCATTTTGATACTCATAGCATCGTTCTGTTTCACCTGAAACATTTCAGGGCTGAGAAGAAATGAGATTTCATGGTTTATCATGATGCTGGTATAGTGGTATATTTGCTTGTGATGATTTGCTCATCTTAAATGCGCTTATTTATCACTGTGTGTTATTTAGTAATATCTCTTATTTTGTGCTTTATGAAACATGTGTTATCGATTGAAGATGGCACGCTTGAGTGAACATAATATTGATCAAACATAATTTTGCACAACCTCTCTGTATCATGTCTATAAACACGGTATTGTTCAATGATACAATGGAACATGTATTTCACAGGGGCGTACCTGGTGGGTGGAAGGGGGTGGGGCGAAAATGGTTTAACCGAACATTTCTAAAATGTAACAAATCCAGGTTTTTCGTTCCGTTTACAATTATATTTAGAAACTTCCATTGTTTGTTCGTACATCTTTATTCCCTTCTTTAAAGAAGAGCTTTTGACATTAATTCACAAACAGTTATTTACAAACAATTCTTTACAAAACAAAGATATTTACATTAATTTGATTTTGTTTTACCGCATGTATACTTTGTACATTTTCATTAAACTGAATGTCAGTTTTTGAACCTGGGAGTGTTTACACGAGAACTTCTTCATCCCCATTTAATTACTGACAGGATGAGCGTGCATCTACTGAGAAATGAAAATGTATTTCCGACTCTTGAAATAAAGGACCAGGTATGGTATCGCAAGCGGTTTTCCACATTACTATAGTTACGACATTACTCATCAAAATAATATGTTTTCATCAATGCGAAAAAGCTAGGACACTACCTCAACGCATTTTCAAAATGTCGGGCTTATTTCCTAAATTGAGGATCTTATTTTCTCATTTTATTGCATAAATCGCATACAACAAGGGATCTATAACTTCTTCGAAAAAATTGCGGGATGGTCTTGAAAGTCTACATGTTAGACTATTAGATTGGTAACAAGAATTAGGCTGAAAACAATGGATGCCACGAGCTTTCCCTTTGGGACAATAACACATATTAGATTACCAAGGTATACCGTTTTCTGAAAAGTTTTTGAAAACCAAACTGGTAAGCAAATATGGAAATAACATGGAAACTGTTAATTTCAACTTTATCGGATCGGTTAATGAAGGTCAACTTTTTAGAAAATAAGCTCGGCATTTTGAAAATGCATTGAGATTGGGTTCTTAACAGTGGCTTTTGGAGAGTTACATTGATCTTTTATTGTATCTTACTTCGACGAAAACATATTGATTTCATGATCACAATATTGTAGTCTGGTCAAGGATATGATCCCTGGGGATATTACTGTTTCCTACATCGTACCACTGAAATAAATCCAAAAAGATCCATTATCATTCAAGTACCCTGCGCGCAGAGTCTAGTTATAAACTAGAAGTCTCTTTGAAGCTATTTAATTCAAAGTGAAAAATGTGTAAACCATCCAAAATATGCATATAGGATATCCACATTCATGTTGGAATGGAAGGCCGAGGAATTCGAATCTTTGCTGAAGAAACATATCAATTATTTGTCAAATAAAATACGTTTGGCTAGGATATTTGATCAGTGATTTTACAGTTTTCCTATTGTGCCAAGCCTATCGATTTCAATTGATTTAATGCCAATTGTAAACAAATCCATTGTGGTAGTCGCGTTTTTCAAAGTTTTATCCGAAAAACTGCAAGATATTCCATCTATACAATCACCCAAGTAATGAAAATATATCTGAAACTGCATGACCTGAAAATATTTACAACTGTTTTAAATAGATAGCGCTAGTGTTAAAACTGTTAATGTTGAAATAGCAACTGATCCTTTAGCCAAACAACCAATCAGCGCCGAGCCAGGCTACCACTAGAAGCAGCAACAGAGCGGAGAAACGGACATACATATTAAGCGAGAAGACGAGAAAGGCAGAACATTATTACTGTGCAAGCACAAGTGGATATTGAATTCTATTGACTCTAGCCAACATTCATTGTGATATATTTCAACCGAAATGTACATAGAGGTATACATTTCACATTGAGCTTAAATATTAAAGTTGACAAGAAAAACTTGGATTTAAAATCTGCATATGAGTAATATAAACGACTATTCTTCGATGCACTATAAGCTGAGTTCAGGATTTAACTACTTAAATCAACTTTAATACTTTTCTAAACTTCACTAGGAGAACAAAATAGCTGTACAGGGATGCAAATATTGGCGAAATTCGGATTAACAATGCTGTAAAACAAAAAGGTATGAAATCTTTCCTTTTTTATTTAGAATTTAGCGTATAGTTATGATTGTGGTTCGATTGTTTTTTCAACTTGTTATTGTAAACATAGGGTTGTATTTTGTTATTATGTTTTGACGGAAATTGAAAGTTTGGTAATTTTGGTAATTTGGGATTATTGGTAGTTTATACATCTGTAGCGCCAGTAAAATCCCAAACAGATTTCCTGGTTAGATGTCCATTTTCATGGCATGTTAGTACTTCCAACGTTTCAAAATGTGTTGTCTATTTTAACCATAATAAGCACTCAGCTACCCGCAGTTGAAACCATGTTTACATGCCTTGTTTACTTCGCTCCAGTAGCCATCATGATGGACCTAATAATGTAACATTTTGACATGCAAAATTCGACGACACAAAAAATACATGTAGAACGTCAACATTAAGTTCAAATTGCCTAGGGGTATAGAATCTATAAATGTACAGCAAGGTCTTCTAAAACAGTAGAACGATATATTATTTATGGCATCGATCATCAAATTGTTATTCTATGACTGTCTGAAATAATTGTGTGTTTATCATGTTTATTATCACAAATCAATGCTAGTTTTTGTTCAGTTATGATTATTCACTATCGCACAGTGTGAACATATCGAGAAGGGTTGGATGTTTTCTTTGCAAGTTCAAAGGAGCCAAACAGTAATTAAGATGTGACACCTCGGGCTATTCATACACTCAACAATAAACACAATCGACAGAATATACATTCATAGCTAAATTAATTCCACAGTTTCGAGTACTTTCTCTCTTCCCTAGATTCACTTAAACTAATGGTCCAAATGTTGAACTCTTGTTAAATCGGACCTCAACTTCTGTCCAATTTGTCAGGCTTACACATGATTTTGGTACAATATTTTCTCGAAATGAACTCCATTTGGATTCCGTGTTCGGCTTGCATGTTATTGCTGGTTAGGCCAGCAGTTTCTCGTCTTCCACGTTGTTCAATTCTTTTCATATTGTGGCTTCCACCATGACATAGCTTTGATCTACAAGGATATAATTAATAGCTACACGAGGCAAACATGGATGCACCTGCTTTGAGTATATCTCAGAAAAGTCAGAAAGTCCCAGAAATTGTTCAGGCTGCTAAAGATGAGTTTTGGACATTTACAAAATTCATTATGAGAACACATATTTCCTATGTAAATCGTTAGCAATAATCATTCTAATAAGGAGTACATTTGACAGCTCATTTGACAAACCAAAACTTCATTTCTACACATATTGTGCCGATTATTACTAAGAATACACCATCTGACAGTATTTTCGGACATTTTGTGAGTTCTATTATTGTCCTCACACTTTGTTTATTAGCTCTATTCATATTTTATCTTTGATTTGATTTCCTCAATGGAATATTTAGTCGATTATTTTTATAATGCTCCTTGGAATTACAGGCCTAGGGGTAGGTGCACTGTAGATTTTCTATAGGGACTATATAGCTACCTTTGACCTAGTGAATAGGACTGAATACTTATTTAATACACAGGTGGACATAATTGAATACTATGATGCCGATTCTCAGACTAACTATTCATACAAATTGACGGCATCAGGTTTAACATTGATCATATTACTAATGTTAGCGGAGAATGGAACTTTGGTAATAGAAATCAACAAGAGGTCATTCCATCATTAATGTCACTCATTTGGCCTCGCCACCGTGATCAGTTCATCAGAGACGCAATTTTATCGTTAACTTCTACCGCTGAGATCATCTCATCCCAATCTCTCTGACCACATTAATTATCTTATGTTTGTTTCTGCCTGTATTCAGTTCCTCATTCCCGCATTAGCTTCATTGTCGTCATTGAATTGAGGATTATGAATGTTTGTTTGAGATTGTGACTGTCCTTTTATCATTTATACACATGTTCACATGCTAATAATGGGGAAATGGTGATAATTGAATTAAGAGATGTATTGCTCCTGGCCAATATACATTTATTCCTTTATGTCAGCTTTAGATTGAGATCAAACTGTTGTGATCTAATAAAGGTCATGTGATAATTACAGGACATAAACTAATGGTTGGTTAATTCAAGAAGTGTGCATCTTGTTATCGATTAAATATGACATTTGTGATCATTCCTTCACCTGCTTGAATCAACTTCAAATGATCACGGATAATGGATTTTTCTAAGTGGATGCTACATTGGTATAAAAACTAATAAACGCAACATCTTTGTGATGCAAATTCAATCATATATCATTGATTGTGAAAGTCAATCCAGGTAGATAGGATTCAATTGTCCCGTATGCATGGTTTTCATATTAATATCTAGACATAACGCATGTATGATTTTTTTCAATATCAACAGTCATTTGTTGCTCTGTATAAGCCACCATTGAGTCATCGCTGTGTTGATTGATTGCTTTTGTCTTTTCTCTAATTGCGCTAACGGCTCATGGTGGGATACGAGAATCATGTTGCACGATTAGATACGGGCCCTTGGTACCCTCCTGTTTCTCGGCTGAATATGGCATTAGTTAAACACAAGTCTTAATAATGTCATCTTGAACGATAATGTTTCATTTGCTCCAACTGTATTTTAATCACATTGGAAGCAGTATGTCTTCTCTTCACAACTTCATCAGTTATAATAGTTTTGGTAAATGACTCAATGTCAAGGTGATCCAAGATATTTTGACAGGATTAGGATTTGAGTTATGACACGGTTTGATGGCTTGGGGGTGGTTCCTGGGTTCTCGCTCTGTCATGGTGTCTAACCAAGAACCTATGATCACTAGACAGTGAAATTAACAACAAGCAATGGAATCCAAATTATTCATTAGTCATTGCTTAACAGGATACATTTAATTCAGTAATTTTACGATGTAGGTCTTCAACCAAACGGTTTTATGAAGATACGGTTACTTATTTGAGAAAGTTTATCTCTAAAATCATATGTTGCTAATGGATGAAGTTGTTTTTATTCACAACAAATCAAAGAAGATGACAGTTAACTGATTGAGATCTGGTGATTAAAAGTTATTTTCAAAGTGTTCGGATATCATCATTTACCTTTTGATAGTTTATGCTGTCGGCCATTGTGCCCAGCTTCCGAATATGAAGGAATAGGAAATGAATACATTGAATAGGTCAGAAGATTTATTATAAAATGATGAACTCAAAGTTAAATTCCCAAGGTGAGAAGTTAGTAAACCTGGGAATGATTATTGAGTAGTTTTGGATGTTTCTAATACGTACTGGTGAGTATTGGCAACTTTGTTTGTTTTCAAGGATCAAATGCTTTCAACAGGTCAAGGTGACTAACTTGGAGTTATAAGAAACACGAAATCTTCATTCATTATAAATGTGATCACTTTTTTCACTTAAGGTTATTAGTACGATACTATACGAGAAATGAATATAATATAATGAAAAATATGAAAAAATGAATATAATATACTGTATATAATATACTATTCACCTACTCTATTTAATGGATTTCACTTCATTTTTAAGCTTTTTTTACATACGATCGTGAATATAGTATACGTATATCCGATCGTGGATATCTTAATACACTCGATCTCAAATTATAATGCAATTGATAGTCAATAGTATGGATATACACATTGCATTTCATATCGATATGTACTAGTACTTCATTTCAGAAGATCACTTCATTTTTAAGCTTTTTTTCATAAAATGAGTCATTTTTTCTTTTATACCTTACCTGTCTAACAAGCTACATTAATGAATTAGAATAAAAATTATGAGTATTTTTCAGATCATTAAATGAAGCGAATAAGCGACAACATCTAGCAGTAATTAGTAAAGTTATGTTCCCGGGTGAATATTTGTTACATTATAGGAGCCATTAACAATATCATATACACTGATGCAAATACGCCATAAAACACAAGCAGACGAGCAGGTGCTCTCAGAAAATTTGTGCTGGGAAAACAATAATCGTGATTGTATAACTTTCAGTTTTATCGACTAATAAACGTTGTGAGTCACACTTTTTCCACGATATATCAATTTTTTAGTTCATGCGATTCCAGTCCTTCTTCCAAATAGCGTTCGTGTATAATACTAGCATCGGTTCCTAGCTATTGTTCTCTGTAATAGAGGCAATCTAATGCTCATTAAAGGCTGGCTGTATTTCAGTTAAACATGCAACATGCTCTCTGACTTCAGCCTCGTGAGACCAATCTATCCTAACGTATACCCAAGATACTGTAAGATCATTGATTTCTACAGTAGACGTTGGAAGACCTTTTTCAAGATCTTCATTTCATTTTTTGCTTTGGACAACTTTTCTGTCATATCATGAACAATAAAAATCGAGTATCATTCGCGTTTAATTTTGTTTCTCTAACTAAAATAGCTTATAAAGCAACTGTAAGAGAAATTTGGAAAGTTCACATGTCTGATACCCATCCCAGCATATTGCTAGAGCGCAAATAGATTGGTATTGAACTGTTGGTGGAAAGCCAAATGTTTGTCTATTTGCAGACTAAAATGGTGTTGTATTTATTTGCAAAATCAATAAAGCAGTCAATTGGTAGAGTCTATACATTAAGAAAAGACGAAAATAAACTAACAAGTCATCAGAAAGCTGAATGAGATCTTCACACAAAGGGGAAAGGTGTGAACGTATGGCGGTTTGATAAAAACTAATCACTATCGAAATAGATTCTGAGAACACATTACTGAGCGAACAATTAGATTATAACTGAATGGAATTGGATTTCCCGCAATTACGAAAAAGCACATTTATATTTTGGTCTTTTGGGAATTAGAAAATGCAACTAGAGGTCTGTAATTTCACCAATACATCAAACATCCGAGGACGAATGACCATCTTCATCTTTGAAAATCGATTCAGTGTGTATATTTTTCTTCACCTGTCTTACATAGATTCTAAAAGTAGCAGTCAGGATGGTATAATATTGGCAATATCTCTTCTGGGGAGCTTGTAGTTATCTAGGTGTAAATAGCACTCCTCATTAGAACATCTTCTTATCTCAGGAACATTCTACCATTTTCAGTAACAATCTCCATTCATTAGTTACAACAGGTTAAATTTCGGGTTGGTTCAGTCTATCTGTTGGGGTAGGTGGGCGATAATAAAGATAATCAATTCCCTGTTGGGAACTAGATAGGCTTGAGCAATCTAGTAGCCCATTAGACATAGAAACCCCCAATGAACCGGAACGAGTGCCATACTGGTTATCTTGTGGCTGAAATGCTTGAGTGTAAGTTAGAAAATTGGTAACTTGGGAATTGATGAGGTCATAGTCTTGACCCCCACACACTATGACACTCCACTTATACAAGGAGATGACGTATGTAGAGGAGGTGGGGATTCCCGAGGCTTTATATAAGACTAATGCGATTATATTACGACACAGTTAGGTCACTCTACAGGGACGTTCTTACTCACTGTGACTGTCATCATTATTATCAAACAAATGATAAGATATATTTTAGTCTAGTTAATCGAGTTATTCGCACAGTAAGATGGTTTCTAAATTGAATTATGTTTTATAATCCTATAAATGGAGGACCTCCAAACAGTATGGGTCCAAACATATTTAAGGGTCTTGAGAATGTGTTTTGGCAACATAGAGACTAAAGTAATAACTGAATCAGTTGATAAATAAACAAATGCAGAATTTGGCATGATTGAATTCCACCTCCACAGTTTGTCTCCCTTTTGATGGATTAGCGTCAGATGGGACATTGAGTTTACCACGAGGAGTGTCACTTCTTTATGCATAGTGACTCTCAAAGCCATTCACGCTGCTATGGGGGCAGATTCTTTTAACAGGGATGTTTTCTTTTTCGGCTGATTTGATAAGAAAATGTTGTTATTACAAGACATGGCTTGGATGACATAAGAAATTGAATTACGCTCAATGGGTCACTTCAGCGGCGACGTAACATCAATAATATGGATTGAAAAGCTGAACGATTGCCCAAGATTGGTTCAACGAGTCAGAACTAGATTGTTTCTTTGTTGGTTTTGAATTTCCTATCTTTTGTGATCGATCAATTTGCCAAATAAATCTTCGGATTAGTTGAGGGCATGTTTGGTTGTAGGATTATAGCGTGTATTAGGGTCGGATTAGTTATTTGCCAGATCGGGACGTAATCTGGAGAGCCTATGTACCTGTTATTACATGCAAAAACAAGACTAATTGAAATACTACAATGGGCTTTTGTGTTTGATGTAAGTATAAAGGTCCAATCTAGATAAACCCCGAGAACTCTCCTGATGCGAGTACAGGGGACCGTTGTTTGAATATCCAGGCAGAAATCAACACGTTGACAGGTGGAGTTGACCCACAAATGTCACAGGGCCTCTGAGAAAGTTATTTTCTAATTTATTGAGCAAATTGATCTACTACTTTACGGTTCTAGTATATGTGGATTCTATTAATGGCAACCTGATACCGGTGAGTTATCGTGATCCGATAAAAATGCAACATTTGTGGAGTTAGACACTTCGATAAGATACTATGTACACCAATGTGGCAAGATAAGATACACCATCTACATGGGTATCGCAGACCAAACCAAGATACGATATCAATTTATTGCCTTATAAATATCATTCGGTAAGTGAGTTTCGATAAACGTCGGGTATAATTGCATCTCTTCTGTAATGTGTATTCTGATGAAGTGCCTAATCGTCACCATTGATTTACCTAACGATCGCAATAACCATTTATTGATGGTTGAAGCTAAAATAACGAGTCGATATTGAGAGGCAGTTATTATCTCTAGTCGTGGGGAAAACACAATTGTGGTATTTACATTGAGAATATTTATAAGATTATCCCTTTATTCAGTTACCAATTGGGTTATTGTCTTTAATTCTTACTTGCATTCAACTTCCTTAGCGGCTTTACTGGCTTAGAAATGTTACTTAATGGATGATGAATGGCCGACACGAGGGCAACATATTTTGAAGTTGAGATTCATGGCATTCCAGAGTAGTGTGTTGAATGATAATCTAAGCTGAGAATCAGGTACATATAGTCAATCAAATGGAACTTCAGAAGATCAGTATATCAGAACAACATGATAAACATCATCGCCGAATATGTCGGAAATTATTTCTACAGGTTGATGAGTAGTCATCCACGGATTTATTGATGTTGTAATCATTGAACCATATCGCAGTGTTTACTATTCGCTTCGATATGAACGTTTTTTCTTCAATATAACTGTGAAACTGTTTTAACGTCTGTAGTATTTTATGCTAAGTTTTGGATTAGAGTAATGGTCAGGGTATATTGGTTTCACTTGACGCGATTATCGGGTATCATGACTGGAGGCTGTGTAATGCCAGACTAAGGGGCAGATAGCAGATATGGGTTTAGTAGGTGTAGATAGATACCTCGGCCAGACTGACAGCTTCCACTTCACAATGAAAGTGCTGCAATAATTGATGGCTTCTCTCGCTACTTTCCCTCCACCAGCTACTCGATCAGTATTGGTCATTGTGTTCTCATGTTTCTAATGCGCCTCGCAGAGAGTATGTCTGAGGTTATGATGTTTTAAGGAAGTAGGAAGGCATTGCTTCCTGTCTATGGTCAGCTTAAGATTCTTACATTTAAGTTATCGTTTAATGAAATGGTTACTGAAATCAATTATTAAAGAATTAGTGTCATCGCCATCAAGTCTTGTATCAATCCTTTTGGCAGCCCCACACCTGCTTACTTCACCTCATTGTGGAGGCGAGGTGTGTGTTGGGGGGGGGGGGCGAGAGCCTGAAGCAAGACTTTGAACCATCCAGCTAATAGTCAGCGTTCTGTTTGATTCACACAATTATTCTTGATTTTTGTCATCTGGTTTATTTACAGTACATAAACCATTTATGTTAGGCTAGTGTTGATGTGAAAACGTTTTGGCAGGCACTTATTTTATAATGAAGAACGGGGCATTAACTCCGAAGTAACTTCTATTTCCCAATGCAACGTTAAAATAGTGACTGGTAATGTGTTTTAACCCCAGTAGGCACCAAACATTCAATAAAGAAAACAATATATGTTGCTGAGATTACCATAATCTGTGGTTTTCTCAAGAACGGGTCTTTTATGTAATTCTATTAACTCTTTGTAAAGAACTCAGAAGGCTGAGGTATATTAAAGATCTAAAGTGGATTTGACTCAAAGAAGGGACCCCTACCAGGATATATGTCTCATATAGCACTGTGCTACAATTACACAAGAAATGTAAACCTACAAGAATATTATCCCCATTGTTGAGATAAGAAACATATTCAAAACACTTCAAAGGCTTGGTAGTTCACAACAGCGACATTTTACAAACAATATAAGAGGATTTGGGAGCTTAGATTAGACGCATGAGTTTGCATTGTCACCGAACCTGACTCTGTTGAAAATCTACGGCTTATATGTCTTCAAGACCTGACAGTTGATGAGTAAAAACCACATATATTCGGACTTGCTATAAACAACGATAGACCTTAATTGCCTAATTACCAGGCAGAACTCTCCAACTGGTCAGTTTAGATTTAATTAGACAACTTGTGTGTTTGTGCTTCCAGATAGATAATACTGAAGTTGATATATGTTCGGAGCTTGACCAGGAGATATATACGACAACAGTCTGACACAAGTCGACATAAAGGGACATGCGGTCACAATAGCCAACATAACACATACGGTAAGTCAAGCATTCAAGCGGATAGCTACCCTAAGGCCCAAAAGACGAGTAGTGATTATAGAGCTATTTTTAAAGATGTGAAATCAAACTTTTGTCGGGTATTTTGCATTCTTATTTATCAGAGCAACTCCATCTAATGCTTTGTGATCCACTGTCCAAGGAATAGTGAAGGCTGTGGATCCCATAATGGGAATTTTGATCAATCAGCCATCGCCGTGTTCGAATAACTGAAGGAATACACTTGTGTAACAATATGACTCTTCATCTTGATTCGCAAAGCTTCGGTTGCTCCAACTTGTGTCATAACCACTTTGGAATAGTCAAAGATGATGACGCTTGAGAAGGTGGCCTTACACGTAGTCTTATTACAAAATCATTGGATTTATAACTCGGAAATATACGTAACTGGTCTCGGAAATGAATTGAAAGTCTGTCCTGACATGCCAGTGTTAACCATCTAGTTAACGCAATAAATGAACTTGACGTTAGCAATTCTGGAAATAAATTGAAGATGTAACAGTGTACAACCGACATAACCCTGACGACCTTTCACGACCAGTTCAATTAGATCGAGAGCAGAACGGGACAACGATTAATAATGTCAACTTGAGCAACGGGGTTAAGATAAGATTCTGACAATTTGTGATGAATTATCGTGATTTAATTGGAATATCGGATGAATATCAGTGAGAGAATTTTAACTATCTGGGCTGGTGTGTATTCTATATGTGAAATATGAATATTTGAGTGATCAATGACAGTGTCTAAACACGGACCAAATATTGATATTTTATTTTACTGCATCTCCCTCCATATCCCCGTCCATATCATGCATCTGTATATATACATTAGTATCATATGTTGGAATATGGTTGTTATCATCTAATTTGAAACACATGTTGCCATAGTAAATGAAATGAAAAAACATATGGAATCAGATTTCATCGTAACCAAATGATGATTTAAATATTACAAATCCGGGGGATTTAACAAATCCCTGATTTATCATTACATGTCACATCTTTTTCTCGATCGTCGTGTTATAATTGATGTCATGGATAAGTTACTCTTGTTGTTGTTAGCGTTGTATCTTATTTGAGCGATGTTTTCGTGGATTAGAGATATCGGTAATGACCTAACATTTTTCTTCCTGTTCGTCTAATCCTGGACTAGATAGACTTATATCATCTACACGGAGTTAATATACACCCCTCGGCTCTACACAGTATCTAAGATAGCTCTCTTGAAGATTAATGAAGAGATCTAGGTAGACTTAGCCAGGAGACTATAGCATAGTTCGTCTTGTTGGTGTTAAAGTTGAGAAACATAAATCACCCTAAGAGAAAACTTGTAGCAAAGAGTAAAAATAAATTGCTGATTATGTTGTAAATAGACACAGATGCGAAACTATCGTATCTGGAGCGGACTACATGGGGAGAACCCAGTAGAAGAAAAACATGATTTCCGGACCATTTGTAGCATTGTCTGAACAAACTTATCCTTAAAGTAATATAAATGGACAGTTTTCTAAACATATGGTATAATTTCGCTAATGTATTTCCTAATCAGCCAATATGTTAGGCAATCAGTACCATTGATCATTTCTGATGTCTAATATCAAACAGGGCGATATTGAAGAGAAAATATGTCTGATATTGGTATTGAGTTTATATGTTCGGTCTCATGTCCCCATATGTCGTATCGTCTCGGGAAACATAAATTGTTTATAAGAAACCATGGTTTGATTACTAACTACTTGAGCTCTATTTAGGCAGAGCTAGAAATATTGAGTGAGCACATTGGTTGTTGATATTGAATGATGGATATCAGCTGGATGCTTATTAAATTATAAGACTGTCTCTCTGGGTACTCCACGTCCAGCAGAGCTGCCTCCAGCTGCCCCCGTTCTTACGCTTTAATTTGCCCTGTTAAACCTGACAGAAGGATAGATCCTCATCACTTGTTGACCATTTGTATCATTTAGGGTTATTTTTGTTTCTCCTAATCATATATAATACATGCAGCGTATTTGTGAGTCATGGTGTCTAGCGACCATTAACATTGTGGTTGGTCATCCTTCATGAATAACACAACATGCGGCAAGATAATTAAATCAGCCAAACTTGCGCTTTGTAATTCAAATGACCTGATTATTTTATGTTTTCAATGGAAGATTGAATTACCACTAACCTTTTCATGCACCTTTGAATTAATTACCCACTGATCAATATTATTTCTATGTATTTACAGGTGTAATAATCAAGACCAGTTGCAACACAGCTTAGAAGCAACAAAGAGATCGCAATGGAGCACCGTACTGCAAGGACATTAAAGCGGACAGTACGATGGATGATCGCATTGGGGATTATGTTAATGGCACGGACAGTTGCCGCACAATGTCCAGCCGCGTGCTTTTGCAATACAGGCAGTAAAATCGTATATTGTTCAAGAAAAATGCTCATCGCAATCCCAGACGGATTACCCGAGGACACAGTACAATTGAATCTCAATGACAATGTATTCGCAGTGACCACTCTCAGGCGGACCAACTTTACTGGTCTACTGCAACTAGAACATTTGTATCTATCCGGTGTCGGTATAGAGGTTATTGCAGATAACACATTCTCAGATCTGACCAAACTAAAATGGTTAGATTTAAGTATGAACAGAATCAGGGTGATTGAAGATTATACTTTCAGAGGACTAAATCTCCAGCATCTCTTTCTGAATGGTAACCACGGGTTGAGACTACATGCTAACACTTTCGCCGGTCTCTCGACTTCAGGGTTGTATCTCCACGATTGTAAGTTAACATCTATTGCCCCCGAGGTGCTTGTCCCACTGAACAATACATTGAAGAAACTCTGGATAGATGAGAACAGAATCCGGACCTTTGATATCAGTCTCCTATCGATGTTCAATCGTTTGTCGCATATTAGACTCGGAGCGAATATGTTGCACTGTAACTGCAGACTGAAATGGCTCAAGGATTTCTACGATTATCACTCCACAGCGTTTGAGGGAGCCATGCCCCCAACATGCCATTCCCCTGCCCGCTTGAATGGCAAATATTTCAACACGATCTCTGAGAAGGATTTCATTTGTCAGCAGCCTGTCTTCAACAATGTGAATGTTGCATTCAAGAGCAACAATGAGGGAGCGTTGAAGTGTAGTGCTAGGTCTGACCCTGCCCCTGTTTTGTACTGGGTGAAGCCCGGGGGCGAGAAGACACTCCACTACCCCACAGCCGATCACGACTATGTAAACACAGCAGTATTAAAGCTATCAACAAATGAGTCGAAGAAGAACCTAAGTGGAGATTACATTTGTATTGCTAGCAGTGATGGAGGTAATGTCTCACTTGTGTTCAATCTAACAATGCCCAAGCCCGAGATCAAATATATACCGCTAGATGGCTCTGAGACTCAGCAGCATCAGCTGCCAGATGGTGACACAACCGATGATGAGGATAGAGACATTTCTCCAGCACAAGGTGCAGATGATATAAACATGAAGAAAATGAACGATAAACAATTCACCATGCTAGAAATGATATTAGCAGTGATAGGTACTTTTCTAGTGACACTAATTCTGGTGAGCTTAGTAATGCATTTTTGCTACAAGAAATATATAGAAAGACGATGTAGCAGTAGAAAGCGTAGAAAAACTGAGGAAAATCATTACGTAGACGTCAGCCATCTTGATGACGTAGATTACGTCTCATCTAATGGCTCCAATCAGGGTAGGCCGGTGCGTCATACCATAGTGACATCATACCCACCACATACTCTAGACACTATAAATCATAGGTACCATGAGTATGACCCCAGCTTCAGGCATGAGCCACCCTATAGACCTAGCTCAATATATAATAGAAGTCAAGAGTATGGAGAACCAAATGGAAATCATACTATGAGGAGTCAGGGACATAGTCATCATGAATATGCTCCTACTTTACCCCTGGTGCCCCCTCCCTCAGAACCCCCTCCGCCATTACCCCCTTCTTTACCCCCTAATAATCCACCACCCATGAGCCACAATCAGCAGTCTCCTATGAGCCACAATCAACAGCCGCCTATGATCAGGTGATAGTGGCTGTGTCATCTCATATGTATAAAGTATTTCAAGCTTGCATAAGTAAAACAACATCCACTCGTGCGTTGCAAAAATGTTGAGACATATTCGGTTATATTTGGATTGCAACTGCCAGCGGTTGTTCAATGCTTAGCATGGGTTCAAACAGAGTATTTTGGCAGTATGTATAAAATAATTCAATGATTTGTATATAAACTGTAAATATTTAGCATAATATTATATATTCTGCCCATTTTCATTTTTCAACATATATCTCAAATGTGCTATAATATCATTGTCATTTTGACTGTTTCGTTTTAACTTATCGGGCCCGTAGCCAGGATTTGCCAAGGGGGTTCACTTTTTGAAAAATTCCAGGGGGCGTTCACTTTTGACAATGATTTTGGTCCAAAAATGGCCAAAATCACTTAAAAAGTGCTCAGAATGGTGAAAAACTGCATGATTTTGAAAGAAATTTCGGCAAAGGGGGGGGGGGGGGTCGCTCGAACCCATTGACCCCCCCCCCCTGTCTACGGGCCTGCTTATGATAGTCTTATATCGAGTTTGTGTCTCCCACTTCTTATTATGTGGAGGGGAAGGACATTAGAGAAAGGGGGAAACATGATCTTGATGGAAGACTACACTAATGCCAATTATCACCTTTCGATTGAATATCAGAGGTACAGCTTTGTAAGTCATCAACACCAAATGTAAATATAAATATCATGTACGCTGTACCTGTGGTCGAAAGGAACGTTTGCTTTAATTTTTTCATGTACTTTTGTTAACATTTTACAAGGCCACGTGGTGGACTTTCTGGTGCCTATAAAGCCCATGGCCTAGTGCATTCATTGATCATATAGGTAATTTTGTAACTAGATTTGTTAATTATTGCATTGTGCAATGTCTGTATATGTGCTACTGTACGCAAGTAAAGAGCAATGAAGTTATGACTCAGAAAAGAGAAATCGTTGCATCGCCAGTATAAAGGGCGTAGAATATCAAATGATGAAAAGAATGTTTAAAGTCGCTAAAAGCCTCGAATACAATATGGCAAACGTAAAGTGTAAATAGACACTTTGTTTGAGTTATTTCCACTCTCTTGATCCGATTAAAAAGATGCAGTCATATTGTATCCTGATCTATTGAGAAAATTATAAAAAACATTTTTTGATATGAGTACCAAGGCGACATGTTTAATTCGCAATCCTCCAGTAGCATGCAACTTTTGTAAAGATCAAGTACCTTTAAATAAACTCAAATGAAAGCTTATATCTTGGTTGCCTTTTATTAAATTTATTAAAAGTAACAATCCTTCAAGCATAAGAATGTCGAAATATCATGGCAGGTGTCATAAAATGCCTCGAAACACTCCATAAAGTTGAAGATTTCGATGTTAAAGTTGGCCACACAGTTAAATTACAATCTGACATATTAGAAATCATCTTAATTCCAATGTGGAATGAATTTCTCAATCGTTAAGTTCGAAAGACAGAACAATGTGATAAGAATGTGTGCCGTGTCCCGAGTGTAAGTTCAATTAATATATCGATGATTGTAGGATCGGATTATGGATCCATGGATGATGGCAGAGCTCCAGAAAGACACCGACAGAAAAGGCCATGTAAAGTTCACACTTCTTCCCCTGGGACTTACAGCCACATAAACCCAGAAATTACTTACCATAAATAATAGCTATGTATTATACCAACAACTGTAATAATAGCATAAGTTCAGACCCTACTGACAGCTTACCAACAATTGCTGGCAATTAACACTTGTTCCTCGTACCATGGTTCTGATATCATTATATATGTTTTGTAAGATGCAATTTAGTAAGTGTTCCTTGGCACATCGGTCCCTAATACAAGTATGAGTTCACGACATACCACCAAGTTACCGACCATTATCTTAACAATTGATCATCACAATTTGGCCAAAGCTCAGAGAATGTCTGATCGTAATCCTCAATTGTGTGTAACCATTATGATATTATAAGGTGAACACTCTATTGATCCAAATGTGTTGGATTTAACATAGGGGCCTTTAAAAAGTGTTCATGCATAGTGGTATTCATTTTAGATGTATGTTTAAGTTGAGGATTTTACTGATGCTCCGCGGAGTCTGGTCAATCTTATTCATTGGTAATGCATATATAAATGATCTCACGAGGCGACTGGTAATCAAGCCAAGACGATGTTTTCTCGGTATAATGATGATGGGACTGTTCCAAGTTGATTTATTAAACCAGTAGACCAGAGAGTAAGTTTCCAAAAGCATAACGTAAGATACTATAACAGATTCCCTTAGAAGAGAGAATCCAGGCTCAACAGTTAATTAGAGAAAACCATCAAGAGATACCAGCACATTGTTTCTGGGACGGAATTAATGAAAAAATTAACCAAGCGCAAAGATTCATTGTACGAACAAAAAGCATCCAATTACAAGGGATGTCTCCGTGTTTGATCCAGTAGGATTATGAGCACGCAAATAGGTTTTATCTTGAATAATGCCGCATCAGGCAAACGCCGTCAACGGTGAAATTGGAAAGAAAGCTCAACTTCTGACAGCGTACTGAGAAATAACTAACACGAGTACCTATTAAGCAGCTATTAAGCTTTGGTTATTTGAACAGCGACTACCTTTTGATTTATTAAAAAAATATTCAAAATGCAAAAATATAAATGAGGGCTGGGCATTGATTTAATATTCTTTCAAAGCATTAGATTCAATAGTCTTTATACTTGTTTTTTTACCGAAACGTTTATCTCAACAGGGGTTGTGCCACAGTATATAATTTCAACAAACAATACATGTATACAGCAGTAGCCCTACCTATTTGAAAGCTATTTTACAAGGGTTTATTGAGAATAATCTTGCCAATCTCACGTTATAAATGAAATATTAATTCCCGTTTGGCATTTGGTGCAATAAAATACGAAAACAACATTTGGTTAATTGAAATTTGAACTGAAACAATATTTTAGCTTTTGTACCACCATTATTAAAAAACGGCTTTTATAGATTTCATTACTTTCTCAGAATGAATAGTCAAGTTGAGTTATTACGACCTATCTGCACCTGACTAAGAAATATTCCTGCCAAGTATCCCAGTGTTAACGTTGTATTAACTCAATGTAATAAGCAAATGTTGGTTGCCGAGAGCATTTTTAAAATATATTACATTTTTCAATGTCCTTGTTTGCTAACAGGTATGAAGTAGTCAGCCAGGTATGACGTTAAAATTATTTTCAAGGTGTCTGAATCTGAAGACAATGTTGAACATTTATAACGACTTTAACCCGGATAGACCCGTATCCTTTAAGCCCATTTGTTGTTGTTACATATTTTCCTTCCTCTAAAGATTTCAAGCACTTACCACATACTACACTAAAGGATATCAGCATTGAGAGGTCGCTGTGACAAACTTGTCAAGGTGTCATGTTTTGGGTACACGTACATCAAGGAGCACTCTCCCCTGCTCCACAGGTACATCATGCCTCTATTCGTAAGTGTCACAATGCATGGCAGAAATACTATTTCGTCAGAGTGTTTGAGTGGCTCATATTAAGTTGAGATAACTTAAAAAGTATCGTTTAAGAATGAAATTGTTTCGACAACCAGGATGTTGAGTTCTACGTAGTCAGGGTCAAGGTCAGGGTCAAGGTCGTGTATTAAGACCAGAATCACTGACAGGAAGTCTTTGGTTTATTTAAGTACACGCATTAATTAAACAATATAAAGAACAAACAAAAAAACTTTATGACAGCGTGAATTTTCTTTATGATTTTTTCAAAATAAAAAATGTACAGGATGTATCCACTGTGGTATTCGAAAAAGAACGTTAATTACCTCAATGCCTCTAATGGCAATCACACCAGCATTTAAAGTCGCCTTTTGGTTCCAAAGGTCAATCAAACATTTTAATGCAAATCGCATGCTGTTTTACATCGATTCAATTGCATTAAGTTTTTACAAAACAAGTGGCACTTGTTTTAATGCAATTTGTTAAGATTCTTGATAAGTTAATTTTCAGGTAAATATTTTGACATCAAATGAACTTGTATAATCTTGCTTATTATTTTGATAATTGATTTATTTTACAAGGCGTCTTAATACAAATCGATAAGACGATTAGGCTATAGGCTTACTAGTACACATTTGGGTTTGGACTTTTAAATGCGGCTGTTGCAGACTCACTGTCGCGATCAGAAATAAAAGCACAATGGGCAGTATTTGATCACACGTTGCTCAGTTAAAACCACATTATAGCTTTAATCCCCTACCCCCCGTACTATCCTACTCACTCCGAAGTAGATACGGGTGGGGCCAGAAACTTGGAGCGAGACTAACCATACAGCGCCCTCCCTTCATGATTACATTAGGCTAGAATCCACAAAGCACATGCATCGTAAATTAAGATAAGGTGTTTTGAGTAGCAGGTGGCTTAATACTCATCATCGTATCAAATTCACAAATAATTACTTACTCTAAAAATTTGAGAACGTAGGTTGTAACAAAATACTTGAGACAGTTGGCCAATATGTATGTCCAATGTTTTGCCGGAAGGAATCTCTTTGTGAAAGAAACAATTAGAATCCGATCTCTAATTACAGGGTCGAATGGCCTAACTCAATATTTGAAAACCCAACCTTAAATCCGCTTTCCAAATAGCCAGCAATTACCATTCGAGCCTATTCTTTAATCGAGTAGCAAATGAATCAATGTTGATGCAAACTGTAAACAAACGTGTATTTGATAACTGATGGTTGGGTTAAAGCATGCCAAGTAGCGGCACTCATAGGTTAAGGATGCGTTGACCTTTCGACATAAAAATACCTTTTTATTATACGATTTCATCAGGAGCATCTGATATGCATTCCAAAAATACCTAAACAGAAACTGAGCATTGTATTAACTACAGCTCTCGTTATTTCACTAATAAATACTTTATGCATACCTAAGAGAGTGTCTGTTGAAGTATTGGATCAAAGTGGTAACAGAACGCAAGAGATGCAATGTTAGCTAAACCCCCAAAATACACCAAATCAATAGTATATTGCTTTAGGTGTCAGAGCCTATTGAATTATAGATGAAGAACCACAGTCAAACTATTGGAAAAGTGTGACTATCAAATTAAACCATCTGTAAAATCAACATTTTAAATCAGCTTGTGCAATGTCATATAACATAAAATTGTCCAACATTGTCAACTGACCAAGTATCCCCGAGCGCAATTGAAATAAATGCGATCATGGGAAACGATCTTTAAAATTATGAATCACTTTGATCCTATTGATGATATGCATTTATGGCAAGTAAATTAGAAAGTAAAATGATATGGCCCGAATCCTGGTTAAAGAT